TGGGTCAGTTATTAATATTGAGGGTCAAACATTTCTTTTTTTTATGACTCAACATGCAATGTTAAGGTGACTGTGGTGTGACTTTCACGTCATAGGTATAATATGCTATTTTGCCCTACACTTTCAAATAAGACAGTTTTGTACGAATTTTCAAAGAAATGAATAACTTTGACCCAAAATTTAGGTTGCCGTTAATATTGATGAGAGGGGTACAAAGAGAGATAGTTTCGTGCTTTGGGATTTTTGGGGGCCTGAATCAATTTCTTTTTCCTTTTAATATGATTTATGCAAGTAAATATGAAAATATTAGGATATACTAAGGGTCCTATTTTGTGGTCTTTTTTTCTTCTGAAAAATTCACTTTTTTAGACTTTATAAATAAATGACTTGGAAGCCACATCGCAACCGAAACCTCTCTATCACAACTGTCAATATTAAAGGTCAACCCAAATTTCGGACCAAATTTGTTCATTTCTTTCAAAGTGCAAACAAACCTATCTTATTTGAAAATTCGAGCCAAAATTGTCTTTTACATCAAGTTCATGCCAAAATAAGGTATCATCCCTATGACATGGAAGCCACATCGCAATCGCAACCACCTGAGCATTGTATGTTGAATGGATGAAGAAATTTTTAACTTTTAATATTAACGAACAAAATAAATTTCAGTCCAAATTTGTCAATTTCTTTCAAAATTTTGAAAACTGTCTTATTTGCAAGTTCATGTCAAGTTTGGCTTTTACGACAAACTTCAAGGCCAAAATAAGGTATATCCCTATTATTTATGGTCAACTTACCAATCAAAGTAGTCAGTGAAAGTATCAGCAACACTGACAAAGACAAACATATGTAATTCAAAATTAGTTGCACTCAGCCTTAAGTTTGAAGCTCTCTTGAGAACCCCGACTATTTTCTAGGCATCTTCGGGGACTACGACTAGCATGCTTCCAAACCAGCTGATCCTTATTCTACTTTCTATGAAGAGGAATAATATGGGTGTATCTGTTAGACATTAATTAGGGTTACAAATGATCTCATTCCTAAAATCTGTTAGAGACCAATCTTTTTCTTTCCTTCTGAGGGTTCATTATGTATGTTTTAGGAAAAAACAACTCTAATCTTGAACTATTTGCCATTTTTAAGTATTGAAAACCTATTATTTTGTATGTTTTTCTTTTCTTCTTTGAACAATTATATTTCTTTTTTCAGTGATATGTCGTATCTTCCTATTATATTGTAAGCATGTTATATGAACATATTTTTTGTCTAGACTTTCCCGGCGAAGGGGCCGGGCCCGGTGCTAGTTATATATAATAACTAAAACTTTAATATATAAAAAGGAGAAGAGAGAACAATTTCGAGAATTAAAAACAAACGAGAGTCCTCTCTCTCAACTAGCTCTCGATCGCAAGTTGTGTTTACTGACGGCTGAACTCCCCTCTTGCTCAAACTGACCCTCGTTCTGTGCTCTCCCATCTCTCTGTTTGCCTCTGTACTCTGTTACCTTCTTCAACTCCCCCCAACTACGATATCTTACTTGTTTTGTAGTTTCTTATAATGCCACATATGTATTATTCTTTGCATTATTTTATTAGCATAAATATTTTGTTCTCGTGTAATGGATTAAATTTTAATCTAACCCGACCAACACCGTGACTCAAAAAAATCGTAGGGTTGAAATTTAGGAACGTGTTTGAATTTTCCATCGTTCAACCCTAAACTGATGAATTTGGTGGTTAAACTGATGAGAACTGACCGTCCACGGACACCCCCTAACCATATTTAGCAAGAGAGAGACCTAGAACGTTAATAATAATAATAATAATAATAATAATAATAATAATAATAATAATAATAATAATAATAATAATTATTAGAATATAAATAACGCCTACCTGTTTATCATTAGGGGTCCAGTGGGCTGCGGGTGGATGTACCGTAACTATTTTGCACCCGCTTTCCCCAATTACTCACCCCCTATACTCTGACGATTGGCTTGGCGGCTGGCCAAGTTGCCTTTCCACTCCCTAATTTTTCTTCGACGAAAGTGATTAGATTGATTTCTTACCTACGCCTCATGCACAGTTCCATGATTAGGGATTGAGAGATTTTTCAGTTCTACAATGTGTATATATATATATATGGCAAAGCCTGAACCATATATATATATATATATATATATATATATATATTCCATACCAACAATTAGACTCGAGAGTGGATGCCCGGGTAAGAAATTCCGTGATTAGGGATTGAGAAGCATGGATGCGAGTCAAGTCCAGGGGCTTCTACCACGTTAAATTACATATTTTTTTATACAAAGGCAAGGCATTGGATGAAAGATTGAATATCTTTAAGACTTCAAACAAAAGGCTCGAAGTTGCTACGAAGGCTGTTTTCTGGCAGCTTGCTTGTGCTTGAAGTCTGCCAGAAAAACAGCCTTCGTAGACACTTTGACCCTTTTGTTTGAAGCCTTACAGATATCCAATCTTTCATCCAATGCCTTGAATTTGTATAAAAACATACCTAATTTAACGTGGTAGAGGCTCCTGGACTCGACTCGCATTCATGCTTCTCGAATTGAGCTCCAAAATAGGCTTCACAAACACGTTTCCGGACTTGGCAATTTCCAGGCAGTTTCTCAGTTTTGGCATAGCCTTTTGATGAGGTTCAAAAATGGTCTTCTGGACTTCCTATCGAGCTCTCAATCACTTCAATATGTAGAGGGACACTCCAGCTTCAAAACAAGTCATTAGTCTTCAATTTCCATCTAGCCAATTGTATGATATGAATATCCAAAGTAGGCACCATGAACTGTTTTTACACTGAAACAACAGATTAGATCGACCTGATCCTATATGAGGTCGACCAGATCGTATATGAGGTCGACCGAATCCTATATGAGGTCGACCTAATCCTAACTGAGGTCGACCGGAAAATGCAAGTCACCTTGACATGCATGTCACCGTAGGCACACCCTTTTTCATATTATCAGCTAATAATTTTTATTGAAAATATATTCCGAAGAAACATATTCAATTTGAGGTATTTAAATTAAAAAGATTACTATTGATATATTTTAGATGTTTTCACGATAAAGTGACTTTTTCTAGACGATAATATGCATATAATACAGTAAGACGTATATACTTATTCACACAACATTGTTATGGTATTAAAGAAAAATATTTATAGTATCCATTATGCATCAAAGCTTTTGTGCAAAGTTGCTAAAAAATATATTATTTGATTGCATTTTCAAAATCAAATAGCATTTCGAATTCAATAAATCTCAAAATTTATATATAAAATTATAAATCTACAATATAATATGTGACCCCGCCGCAAAGCGCGGGCCATTTATATAATAATAATAATAATAATAATAATAATAATAATAATAATAATAACTACCGCCTTTCTTTTTTATGGGATAGGATTATGTAATACCGCAGCCACTCTTAAATTGGTATCTCCTTCACTACCCTTGCAAAAACATTTTTGTGCCGACTAAAAGAATCATTTTCAACCCGTTATAAGCTACAACAAGTCAACAACTCACCCACCACCAACAAGCCCTTAATTTACACTGCCATTCCCTTATCCATCATTCTCGTCTCGTGAAAACTCCATTATTAGAGACAGCTAGCTAGACAACCCATAACATAACAACTACCCCTCTCTCTCTCTCTCTCTCTAGGAAAAGAGTGCTTGCCTCTCGATTCCAATCCTTTTTTCCAACCCTGCAATGCAAGGGGCGAGACTCTGTTTCCTCCTCACGTAAACGCGCGCCAACAGAGAGCATATATCTTTTTCTCGTAAGCTGGACAGAAGGAAGTAAAGAGTCATCCGACTCCCGAGCATCACCTCGTGTACGTTCTGTAGGTAAGTAACAATGAACCCCAAATTTCGTTTCCAAAGGTCATGTTTGCAAGTGTTGGTATTTTGATTAGTTGCTTTAGAGAGTTCACGGTTACTTCTTCACATTAGGTGGAAGTTATGTTGACATGTTACCAATTTTTTCATCGTTTAATTATCATATTTGGGTGGTCGGATGGTTGTGCTAGTTAAATTGAGTTTGGGGGTCCTATTAATTCATAAGACGTAAGATCCAATTGAATTTAAAGATAATAATGTACTAAGCAATGCACGATTGAGCATGTTTATTTATCAAGCATGTTATTATGAGTTTTTCACCATTAAACCAAACCCGTGATTAGGACTGACCTCAATGCCCCTACTCGGGAGTACTTCCAAGAGTGTCAGGTACACTTCTAGGCATTCACTTACGGCCAGACACGACAATCGAATGATTTCCAGTTCCAGAGGACTTCCAGTATGATGAGTTCAGTTCAATACTTCAGTAACATGAGAGACTTGACGATAATTTACAATGAGTATTTACTACGTCAAGATGTTTCAAGGTATGTTGACTTTTTAGGGTTTAGGGCATTACAGATTCACTATCACCTATTAAAACAAAAGAGAACTGGCTCTTCGTCAAAATAATCCACAAAATAAATAAAAAATGAATGGCTGAGAGAGCCTGGTTTGTGACCTGGAGGCTGGAGATATCAGATTCAGACAGTCTGGGGTCGTTCCTTTTATATAATTGATCGACCAATTAATGTGACAAAACCAAAAATGGAAAAAACAAGAAAACAATCAGCTATACACAAATGTAATGGCGGTAGAGCTACCATTAATAGTTAACACAAAATCAGAATGAAAGACAAAACAATAATATACTACATACAAGCAAATGCAGTGAAAAATCTCACTTTCATGTTTAAAAACTAAATATTTTTACATTTTTAGGTCATTAAAATGCTTCTACGTAGCATCACGCTTTTCTCTTATAAGTGTAGTGAAAATCTACGCTTAAAATTTTAAAATCTTAAGTTTTTACGCCTATACATCACCATAACGCTTCTACATAAAATCGCGATTTTAACTGCATATAATTGCATGCAGATCTCCCAAATCCCAATCCATTCCTTGTTGATATTTGCTGTTCCATGTTCTGCAACTTGGATGACTCCATAAACTCATGCATTGATGATATAATTGAGGCCTACCACGTGAATTGTTTGGGGTAGGTTTCATTGCAAATCATCACTCAACGCTTATCCACATGTATGCATCCGACTGTGCAAGGACGAGACACCAACCAAACTCCAAAAGCATTGGAAAGGAAAGAAGCATTTGATCTGCCGCAACTCTCTCGTGGAAATGGCTAACGTGCTGCATATGAATGGCAGCCTGGAAGAGACCAGCTATGCCATGAACTCCTTGCTTCAGGTAAATGAGACAAAGAACCCCATCACAGAGTCTGATTGTTTTGAGAGCGATCGATGATCTGTTTGAGTAGGATCGAGTTATATGGATGAGTTGGTTTATGAATCATATAGGAGACTCTTTTCACCTTATTTCAGTAAGTGGCACTTGTATAGGCCCACCGTATATACCCGTGTGCTTTAATTAATTAGCAACTGTTAATATTGCGGATAGTGCGGACTTAAATATACTTACGATACTATGTTATAAACTAATTTATCTCAATAACTCGAGTGATTGGAAGAAAGTTAATTATATTATTGATCATATACCATTTAGCAACACATTTCTCATTAATTTGCAGCGGAAGGGGATCTTAAGGACTCTGCCGATAACCAAGAAAACCGTTGCAGAACTGATGTGCAACTCGAGATTCCCGGAAGGCAGGTTGGCAATGGCAGATTTGGGTTGCGCTTCAGGACCCAACACCCTTCTCCTCGTGTCGGAGATGATCAAGGTCGTCCACAAGCTTTACGGGGAGCTAGGGCAGGATTGCCCTGAGCTTCAGATCTTCCTGAATGACCTCCCTGGAAACGATTTCAACCATGTCTTCACCTCTATTCAAGGATTTAAGGAAAACATGAAGAAAGAAATGGGAGCCCAGGCTTTCATCGCCGGAGTTCCAGGTTCTTTCTATGATAGGCTTTTCCCGACTCATAGCCTTCACTTCATCCACTCTTCCTACAGTCTTCAGTGGCGCTCTCAAGTTCCTCAAGGTCTGGAGGAGAACAAGGGAAATATTTACTTGGCCAGTAGCAGCCCTCCATGTGTGTTGGAAGCCTATTACAGACAATTCCAGGTGGACATTTCATCCTTCTTGAAATTTAGGGCTCAAGAATTGGTGACTGGAGGTCGGATGGTGTTGACACTCCCTGGAAGGAGAGGTGAAGGATCTTCTGAGAAAGAGTGTTGCTATATTTGGGAACTTATGTCGATAGCTCTCAAGCAAATGACATCTGAGGTAAATAAAGAGAGAACAAGAAGAAATCAACATTTTCATATCCTTATTTAAAAGGAAAACAACTTTTTTGGATTGACAAATTATCTAATTGGTAAGATATTCATTACGAAATTCCTATGCCAAATGCAATAGTCATTACGTAATGGTTACGTAACGCATGTTTATCTTACGTAACAGTTGTAAAGTGTCACTACGCAAGCCTTTACGTGATGGACGATATCCTTTTACGTAATAAATGTTGGCCTCGCGTTACGTAATGTGATAAGTCATTACAGAAGTCTTACGTTACGGTTCTGATTAATTAACTGTTTACGTAATGAATATCAAACACCTAACGTTTCGTAATATTTCCGTAATGGATGTGCATTCTACGTAATGGTTGTAAAAGGTTGATAAGTGATAACATGTACCGCCGGTTACCATTGTTTTGGTAATGAAAGTCGTGAATTGAATTTAGTATATTTTTAGCGATACAGATTGATGCAATTTAACTAACTTGAAATTGTGTTCATATTACTGCAGGAGGTCGCAACCAATTTTAATTAACTAATTAACCACACTTACATCATGTAAAGTATTGGTAGTAATTACTAGTAAGGTAAGATTCTATTTTGAAGTCTCACATGTATATAACTATCTGTCGTGGTCTCATTTGTAGGGATTGATAGATCAACAAAAATTGGATTCCTTCAACCTCCCAATGTACATGCCATCCGCCATGGAAGTGGAAGTCGAGGTCCAGAAACAGGGCTCCTTCGCCATTGAACACCTGGAGTTATGGGATATGAATTGGGACGCCTACGAGGGGGAAGTGATGAGCTTGCCAGCCGGAGACGGTGGCTACCAACTTTCCAAGTGCATGGAAGCGGTGTTTGGTCCGGTCATCGCCCATCACTTCGATTCCTCGAGGGAAATCATTGACGAGGTTTTCAGGAGGTACGGACTCCTTCTCTCCGATTGGATGGCCAAGGAGAGTCCTACTTTGGTCAGTTTGACTGTCTCGCTCACTAAGCGACATTGATGACAAAATTGGAAAGAGCTCGATACATGCCGAAAAGGTATTCATGTTTCTGCATTCCTTATCTCGAGCCGTATAAGAGAATGATATAAGATTATTATTTTTTTATTTATGGAGAAACCCATTGCGGCGTTGGCGTACTTTTCCCTGGATTCAATTCTATTGTTCTCTTGTCAATTTCGCTGGAAACCCAACTCTCTCCTCCACTGTGAGTGATACAAATAGTGACAAATTTTATATAGTTCCAAGTGGCTACTTGCTCAGTTTATCTCAATGTTTTTATTCAGTGGAGGATCTGCTAATGTGTGATGCTTCAAGAGTGATCCTTGAGCTTCAGACTAGTTTGAATTGATCTTTGATTTGTGTGATGTATTGTTGTGACAGGTTGTACTTGGATTTATATCAAGAATGTTAGCTTATAAGAGCTCACCAGGTTGAGTAAAAACTTCTTTGTGAATGAATTTAATTTGATTGAGAATTGTAGTATTAGTTTTTGGATGAGTTTCTTATTGAGAATTGTAGACGCTGAACTTTCCAATTACATGCATCGGACAATTGGGTATATCTTAGTAAACAAGAAATTGTTCTAGTGATAATTAATATTACAGATTTTGAACCTGAATGTATCATGTACGAATCCCTTATGTAACACCTAACTAAAACATAAACCTCTATAACCCTCTAAAAAAAATTGTGCGCACCATTTCTCATTGATCTTATGCGTATTTGAGTGTGATTACAATTTACAATTGCACATGAATCAAATGACATTTTTAAAAAAAAATATTTCACGAGATAACTTGCCGTTTGGAATGGGTTAGCTTGACAACCTATGAAAATGTTGTCACGGTGAGTCGGTGACAATTTAACATTGTCTGCTTTCTTTGTTTCCAAAAAGACGGTAAGAGATCATATAATAACACTACTATCATGGTCAATCAAGTGACGGACGAATAGTTTACGTGAGCGTTTGATTTCTAGTTTTTTTAGAATAAAAAGAAAAAAATAATAAGATAAAAAAGTAATTTGTGTTAATTAGAGCATCCACATCAATGTAATTGCAAAAAGTAATTGGATTTGTGCTCTTTATTGTCAACTCAATTTTTTTTGCAGTCCACCTCAAATCATTTTCATTCACCTATATTAATGCAATTAACTTGCAATTGCATATGTTATTAAATATTATGTTTAAATTATAGAAAATAAAGAAAAAGAGGAAAGAAAATAATAAAAAAAATAAATTCATTTTTGTAGGGATTTTTTACTTGCATATGAAATTGCATTTGTTGCAGGCTTGCAAGTATGCAATTGATAGACACATTAATGCAATTGGTTTTGCAATTGTAAACACCCATGTCATGTCATACTTCAATTAAGAATACAAAATCAATGTGGATGCTCATAGGGCGGCAAGTAGTGACATTTCGGGCTACTAAATAGCTATGCAGTTATATTTGCTGTCCTTGAAAAAGGTTGAACCAGTCGGTTGCCATATTTAGCAACTTCTAAATTTAAGAGATTCCCTGCGATAAAGTATTACTGTTACTGGTATCACTATCACCTATCAAAATCATCTACAAAGTAAATAAAAACCAATGGCTATGAGCCTGGTTGGTGCCCTGGAGATATCAGACAGTCTGGGGTCCGTTTATATTAATTGCTGGAATGGCAGTACACCTACCAGAAATGATTGCGCTTATAAATAGCCTGCTGTATTTCTTACGTGAAATGCTACAAAATCTTGTGTAATTGATTTGATTTTGATGTTCTTATAGTTGAGGCTTGCAGCTGTTGTTACAACTTACAGCAAAGTGCTGGAAAGTAGGAATACATGATTTATCAAATCGATAGAGACAGAAAATATCAGAGATTTCGCTATCACCGCTTGTTGTTGGATACTAAATAACGTAAAATGTAGCAAAAGTCAAAATGGCACAAAGTAAATATTTGGTATCTTCACTTGATCTGGAAATTTTTTCAAACAAGCACAGCTTTTATAATTTTGGCTTATGTTTCAAGCAAGGCTCTCTCTCTCTCTTACTATGCAAATATAGGCGTATATAGATTGAGATAAGAGAACAAAGTGAAAATTGAATTCATTGAAAATTGGAAGACTTCATAGCTCATCATAGGGCTGGCTATTTGGACCGGGACCGGATGAAAAACCGGAAACCGGACCGTATAACCCGGACCGAGACCGGACCGGGACCGGATAGTAAACAATCCAATCCAATCTTTGGGCTTAGATTTGAGGTAAAAAACCGTATAAAGACCGGATAAGAGAGCTCAACACCCAAAACTTAAGGGTAATTTGCATAAACGATCACAAACCTTTGCACTTAGTACAAAACTTAACCAACTCCTCACCCTTTTAGGCCTTAGGCCACTCAAATTCCCACAATCTCAATATAAAATCAAGACTGAATTGGGACCGGACCGGGTCAAGACCGGACCGGATCAAGACCGGACTGTATCCAATCCAATCTTCGGTCCTTATATTTTCAAAAAAACCGGACTGGACCGGATCAATTTGGGCCAATTTAACCGGACCGGACCGTATAGCCACTCCTAGCTCATCATGCATTGATGAGTATAACCAATCCAGGTCTGCCATGTGAAGTGTTTGGGGCTAGGTTTCATTGAAAATTAAATCACCACTCAACGCTTATCAGTTATCAATATAAATGCCATCCGAGTGTGCAAGAGCGAGACAGAGACGACACACCAACCAAATCAAACATTTCAGCCGCAGCTCTCCCTGAAAGCAAGATAGATCATGGAAATGGCTACCATGATGCACATGAAAGGTGGCCTGGAAGTAGGGATAGCAATGGGGCGGGTTTGTCTAACCATCCTCATCCTTATCTTCAAATACCCAAACTCATACCCACCCCATACCCATGCGGGGAATGTTTTGCAAACCCATCCCCATATCCGTGGGTTTCAGGTACCTATGGGTAATACCCGTACCCATACATCCAACATTATTATACCTAAAACTTATAAGAAAAGTTTTAATTATAACTATAAACGAACCTATTAGATCATGAAGTCAACAAAACATGGTCATTTTCTTAATAAGGTTCAAAGTATATGATCCTAAAACATCCATTAATACATAATATAGAGTATAATATTTTTCAAATTATTATCCTCTAACTCTTATACATCTACTAAGTAATAATTAACTAACATGATCATGTAGACAAGGGGAAAAGTGAAAGGAGAATTGAGGGAAATGAATTAGATTTTGATTAAAATGGTCACTCAATTGCATTTCTACTATTTATTTCCTTGAGTTATCACCATCACCATTGATAGATTACAATTTAATTCACATATTTTTTTATATGTGAAGAAACTCTCTTGGTGGGGCGGGTATGGGTATGGGTATGGGGCGGGGAGGTCAAAACCATACCCGCCCCATACCCATCGAACTTTTTGCGGGTTTTACCCATACCCGCCCCATACCCGATCAAAGCGGGGATTCCCCGCGTCGACTGGGTCGGGGGCGGTCGGATACCCGCGGCGATGGATTTTATTGCCATCCCTACCTGGAAGAGACCAGCTACGCCATGAATTCCTTGCTTCAGGTAAATGAGACATAACCTCATCCCAGAGATCGATTTGGTCCAATAATTCAAGTTGTTGGGAGATGAATCATAATACCCTTATACTTTTATCATCACTGTTAATGTTGGAGGTCACGAGGATTTGAACATGTGACCTGAATGTAAACCAGCTCCGATCATCACTGTTATGTCATAAACTAACTGGTTTTAATAAGTTGAGCTGTTGGTAGAAGGTTAATTATGGATCATATATAATTTACTAACAGATATCTTTGTCGATTTGCAGCGGAAAGGGATTTCAAGGACTCTGCCGATAACAAAGGAAGCCATTGCAGAACTGATGTGTAGCTCGAGTTTCCCCAAAGGTAGCAGGCTGGCGATCGCAGATTTGGGCTGCGCTTCAGGACCTAACACCCTTCTCCTCATGTCGGAGGTGATCAAGGTCGTCAACAAGCTTTCCAGGGAGCTAGGCCAGGAATGCCTCGAGCTTCAGATCTTCCTGAATGACCTCCATGGAAAGTTGGAAACGACTTCAACCATGTCTTCACCTCCATTCAAGGATTCAGGGAAAACATGAAGAAAGAAATGGGAGCTGCCCAGGCTGTATTGGATTCGAATCCTGAACCATTGATTTCCATCGCCGGAGTTCCATGTTCTTTCTATGTCAGGCTTTTCCCCACTGGCAGCCTTCACTTCATCCACTCTTCCTACAGTCTTCACTAGCGCTCTCAGGTTCTTGAAGGTCTGGAGGAGAACAAGGGAAACATTTACCTGGCGAGTAGCAACCCTCCAGGTGTGTTGGAAGCCTATTATAGACAATTCCAGATGGACTTTTCTTACTTCTTGAAGTTTAGGGCTAGGGAATTAGTGACAGGAGGTCGGATGGTACTAACGATCCCTCGAAGAAGAGGTGAAGAACCTTTTGATGACAAAGAGTGTTGCTACCTTCTTATGTCGATCGCTCTTTACCAAATGGTATCTGAGGTACATAAAAAAGAGAACAACTCAAAAGAGTGTTGCTATTGTGAAGTCTCTCACATGTAATAACAAAGTCATAGTATCCTTTGCAGGGATTGATAGAGCAACAAAAACTGGATTCCTTCAACCTCCCGCTTTACATGCCATCCGCCATACAAGTGGAAGCCGAGGTGCAGAAACAGGGCTCCTTCGCCATTAAACACCTAGAGTTGTGGGATATGGATTGGAATGTCTACGAGGGGGAGGCAAATTTGGCTGGAGATGGTGGCTACAACCTTTCCAAGTGCATGGAGGCGGTGTTTGATCTGATCATCGCCCATTACTTCAATCTGTCGAGGGAAATCGCCGATGAGGTTTTCAAGAAGTACGGTCTCCTTCTCTCAGATTGGATGGCCAAGGAGAGTCCTGCTCTCGTGAGCTTGACTGTCTTGCTCACTAAGCGATATTGATGACAAAATTGGAAAGAATTCGACACATATAGAAAGGGTATTCATTTTTCGTGGATTTCTAATCTATTTGCATAAGGAAATGATATAAGATTATTATTTTTGTATTTTTTATAGATAAGGAACTGTGTATCCATTATTTCCTTTAGTATAAGAAAAACTATTTACAACGACTAATATTGTGACAGATATTGTATTTGTCTCTAGATTTTAGTAAGTATAATTTTTAGCAATATTAAAAGGGTAAACTTATAAGATAATGTCATATGCCTAGTTGAACTATAATTTTGTGGTAATTGTGTGAAATAAAAAGGTTTCAGGAGCATATGTGTAACTTTTGACCGGGCTTAGCCCTGACCTCGTAATGGGCCAGATATGACATCACTCGGCCTTGTACTGTTGTGGGTTTCAGCGCTCAGGCCCTTCAGCTAATTATCTAGCCCTATGAGAAATTGGGCCCGCTAAATCAACTAGTTAAATAGAAAGGTGTTCTCTCTCTTACTTTTTTTCAAAATTGTGCTCTGCCTTGCCTCTTCTCCAATGCCTCTGAGTAGGGTTTTACAGGGGTTGCCGCCGGCACCTCTTGGTGACCGGCGGTAGCCCAATGCTCTTTCTTTCTCCTTGCTTTATTTTCGTGCTTCCTTGCCCCTAGTTTGGCCTTTTTCATTTGGATTCTCCAGCTGTTTAGCTTCTCTTGCCTTTTTGGCCTTTCGTTGCCCTGTTCTAGGTTTCCTTTTCTGGATTTGCTCTCCTTGGGGCTGGGTTATGCATCTAGGGGTCTCCTCTCTAGATGGTGGGTTCATCAACATGCATGGTGAATCGATTCATCGATTTCCCCTCCGTTTGCCCTGTTGGTAGTTCTTTGCCTCTTGGTCGGCGTTGGTGGTAGGAAGGCGGTGTCTGGCCCTTCTGGCTGCGGTTTCAAATCTTGGATTTTGGAGTTTGGGTTCCTCTTCTCCCTTGACCAAGTTCTTGGTGCCTCGTCTCCTTCTACTTTTTCAGCTTGGAGCATTTCGATCCTCTACCCTTTCCACCGCCATGTAATCCCTCACAAGATATTCATTGTGTTGAGCGACTTCGAGCGACTCTCAGGAGGCGGCCTTTGGCGTTGTATTTAATTGTCATGGATCGAACGAGCTGATTGTGCTTGGTGCTTGATTAGCTGTTACCGTCACTAGAAAGTGGCCAAGTGTAACCACCTACTAATGCGTAATATAGCGGGTTTAGTTCTAAATGTCAACCCGAGTCCTATGGGTGATGACTACTCCATGAGATTCTTATTATTTAGTGGTTAACATGTAGTGAAGTTCCAACTAAGCTAGCAAGCAAAAGCAGTCAATGTTGTTTTCCAAGTTTGAGAGAGGTCACCCATATATGGTTCCCTCTAGACTGCAGTTAAGCCAAGTTGTAATTTTCCAAGTTAAGATTCAATGATAATTATACAGCGGGAGGTTCTTAGACAGTATGCAGTCTCGACTAAAGGTCTCCAGATCCTCTCAATCTGAGTCTCCAGCGGACGACTAACCTCCACCGGAGTAAACAGACTGAGGCCCTAACGTACCAAACCTCCTCTATTGGAATAAATCCAGTACAAAATAGGAAATCGACTCATCGACTAAAGTCGTCAATTCACTACCTTCAATCAAGGGTGCTCTATCAACTTAGGCAGATATTCTCCTTCTAGGTCAAAGCAGGAATAATAGGAATTTGATTAGGATTCATGCAATTCAGAAAACCATGCCTCAATTGAATATAATCACTATCACAGAATTCGTACTTGGGTTCATACAACCAGACCTAACATACAAATCTAGGGTTCTTCATACCCAGGTGAGTGAGAAAGTTTACTCCATAGAAAGAGAAGGGAAATCTAGGTCAGATGCAGAAATCATGTTGTGAAGGATAAAAATCTGCGTCTTGTAATCAATCTGCACTTCTCCAAGCTTAAGCCGAGCTCCAATGGTGATTAAGATCGATCTAGGGTGCTTGGAGACTTCGGTTCGTCGCTCTCTCTCTCTAGGTATCTACTTTCTTTCTCTAAAACTCGGATCCCTCTAAAAAATGGTCTTCTTTCCCTCAAAAGGGAGCAGATCGCGATACCCGGCCATAATACCCGGTCGAGGTCCAGAATACTCGATCGAGTATTTAAGCGATCCGGCCGGGACCCCTTCTGTTTCCTGGCCTCCAAAATGTGCTTTACCCGGCCTCCTTCTGCATTTTACCCGGTCGGGTATTTCAACTCCTGACCGGGTATTTTCATCTGCAGCTTCTCTGCTCCATACTTCCACTTTCTAATCCGAAACTCGTTCTCACGCCTCCATATCCACGCCAAGTCCTGAAATATGACATCAACGAACAACCTAGCGTGAAATCGGCCTAAAACACGAGAATCGACTCTCAAACGATTCAAGAAATGGTGGTCAAAACATGTACAAATAATGGTCTATCAAATGCCCCCACACTTAACCGTTTGTTTGTCCCCAAGCAAACCTGACTCAAACCAATGCAGCTCTCCAAACCTCTATAGCAACACACAACCCCGATCACCGGTAGAGGATTTCCTATATCAATTAGCAGATTACGAGGTCAATTGGTCTTCTAAGACGTCCCCTATCTCTCTCAATGCGAGTACTAGACTCAAGCCAGGATCATGAGAAGCAGTGAAACTAAGACAACCCATTCATGGATAAAGGGACTCACACAATTCAACAACCAAGGACTCATTGTATCGGGGTGCCCTTCCACTTCATTTCACCCATTGGAACCCCTTTCCGCACTTTCATTTTACATTTGTTGTTGTTGTTTTTTTTTCATTCACCTTACGGGGGTTCCAACTGCAGTTTTTTGTACGGTCGACCCTTATAAGTTGAGCAAGAGAAATTTATGTACATCTGTCACTCGTCAGAGTACTTCCTTTAACTCCTTTTCCTCAACTCGTGTGGAGGGTCAATGAAATTAAGGGGGGTCAGAATCTCTATTCGTGCCCTTAAAAACACATCCTCGAGTTGGCATACCGTTCAACGGGTGAAAATTTTATTTGTACTAGAGACAGCTTAGTTTTCACCTTGTAGGAGTACCCCACTAAGGATCACTAAAATCTCTTCCAAAACCCGATTTTGTGCAATGAACGGTGCCACACACATTGGGCTTACCCCATGTTTAAGATTTCAATTATTCTGACATGGAGGACCAACTGCTTTTCATTTCACACATGAGCACCCTATTCGATACACGAATCCACAACATAATATAGAAGGAGTCACCAATACCACATAAATTCAACGGTCTTAAATCCACTAGTTCACAAAATCAATCGGCACAGCAGAGAGAAAGATAGGAAAAAATCTTATACTTCAACATCCTCCATAGTGCTACAACTACCTCCCTAGGTTGCATATCACCATAAAAACTGTCAATTCAAATAGAAATAGTGGACTAGGCTCCAAGCACACAAACAGAGCTAAACAGTCAAATAGAAACACCCCCCCCCCCCCACCACACACACACTTAAGTCGACATTGCCCTCAATGAAGAAGAGAGAAAGATAAGGGGAACGATGTTACCAGTAAGAACAAACTGCAGCAGGACTGGAAAGTGGGACCAGTAGGAGTGAGAAGGACTAGAAATGGGACCAATCGTCACTATGGCACGGGCTAGAGAAAACACCACCACTCATCCACAAATATGTTAGGTAGAGTTGTCAGCTCAATAGTACATCATCCAAAGAAAATCAAACCAAACCAAAACACAAAATCCAATTTGTACTCTGACTCAAAAGAAAACAAACACAAAAGGGCCAGCGAGTACGGCCTACTCAAGCTGGCTGAAGTCAATCTGCTCCATAAGATCGTCGACTCCGCCCCGCGGTGAAGGTGGCGGTGGTGAGTGATCCCACCGAGTGGTCCAGTGATGCTTCTGTGCTGGATGGCAGGACTGGAGCAGGTGCTCCTGGTACTCCATCATCCGGCCGTTGCGATTCTGCCCCCGCTCAATGCGAGCACTGGTGACGCCCTGCTGGGTCTCTAGGCGGTCAAGGCGCTCGTCCAACGCAGCCATCCTGGTGGAGTATTCGGCCTGGTGGAGTATTCGGTCCATGAGCCTCTAGTTCTGGACCCCAAGCTGCTGAAACTGGAGCCCCCATCTGGTGAAACTGCTCCGTGAAGAAGTCCATCGACGGACCAGAAGGACCTGAGGATGACTGACCTCGCTCTGGTCTCCGTCGAGGAAGGAGATCCCCTGGAGGGGAAAGTGGGGGCTCCGGCTCATCGGCATCCATCGCGCCCCCATCATCATCATCATCATCATCACCGGCCTCATCCTCGTCAGTGTAGTCCTCATACTCTTCTTCACCCTCATTATCCTCGCCATCCTCTTCCGGAGGCATGGATAGACCATCAACCCACGATCGCCTGCCATCGGAGGCCAGCAGCAGGGCGTTATGAAGCACCTCCCGGCTGAGAGGAGAGGAACCACCTAGTGTTGTGGTGTCAGTCAACCCTTCCAAGGAGACCTCGAAGTGGCGCGCCAGCTTCGTGATCAGGGGAGGTGGGTTTGTTGTGGCACCGAGCAAAGGTGGTGGCCACAACAGACCCCAAGTGCAGCAGATGGTCAGGGCGCCCCATCGAGTACATGGCATACACTACTCGCTTCTTTATCTTGTGAGATCCGATGGCGTTGGGCGTGATCGATCGGGTGAGCAGAAGGTTGAGGATGTGCCACTCCGGTAGAAGGGTGGAGACATAGGTCTGGCCGGCGTCGAAAGTGTCGAACTGGTATTCGGGGCGGGCGATGCTATGGTAGAACACGTCCTGAAGCCAGTCCTTAGGATGAGCGACCTCCTTCTCGTGGTGAGAGTACGGGTGATAGTGGATTCCCATTGCATGGGCCAACCCGTCAATGCTTAGCTCCCGCATGTGGCCGCCGAGCCGGAAAGTCTCACCGGTGGGGGAGTCTCGGGCCTCCTTGGGGCGGTACTGGAAGGTGGAGTAGAACTCCCACACTAGCTCCGTGTATGTGGAGTCTTCTTTGCGCAGGAGCACTCGCCATTGTGGGTGGCTGATGGCGGCGGCAATCTCATCCATGCAGTGGAGCTGCTGGAAGACGCCCCACACCAGGTGGTGGTGTTGGTGGAACACCCCGTTAAGGACCCGACGGTACTGGTCTACATACTCGGGGTGCAGGCGTAACCCCTGAATAAATGGATGGTCGAGGGACATGATCCTGCAAAATCAGCAAACCAAAGGTGGAGCCAAGAAAATTCTTGTTAGGACCGCAAGCATGGGTTCGACAGCTCCCCCACACTTAAGGACCAACTAGGGTAAGCACTCAAGCATAAAGCAGTTGATTTGCAAACAAACCAACCGCAAATCAAGCAAGAACCATGGTAAAGGCAATGCATTTCAACAATTAGGCATCTATCATTCATGAGCAAATCAAATTCACTGCATCCCTCACCCTATTCTAGTTCAAATATGCCAAACCAATCATAGTTCTCGGGCATCATCTATAGTCCGATTTTCCAGAGAAAAACAAGATCAGCAAGAAACACATATGGAAACGCAAGTAGGACCGTAGATGGAAGCGATTAGAGGGTGAGGGGCGCAAAACCACAGCCAAATCACAGGGACACAGAAGCCAAAACCATCAATAGATGGCTTGAATGCCCAAAAAAGTCGTCTGAAATGCCGTCTGTTACCTGGCTCTGGCGGTTTTACCTCTTCATCTTGGTATCAAGGGAAGAAAACAGTGCCAGAGTTAGACGCCTCCAGTGCCAAAATCAACCTGGGAAGGAATGCATATGACTCTTCCCAATCACCATATACCGCGGCCAGAGCTTTCTGCTTTCCATGCCACGCCTTCTTATAATTAATCATATAACCATAACGACTTGCAATGTCGGCGATTATGACTTTCACCTTCAGGTCAGGATCTTGCTCAATTAGATGCTTGATAGCCGCAGCAACCACCCTGGATTTCAACTGCCGATGGCCTTGGGATGCTATGGATGACACGCGTGTGTGTGTGTTCACCGCACAGGATATGACACAATGGCCGTGTCTCTTGCTGTTGATGGCCCGAATCCTAACATTGCATCCCTCGTTATGATTACGGCATCTGCTATGAGCCTTTTCGTGTTGGAATGAGTTGTGTTCCATTCAAAATGCCGAGTCATTGCTTCAGTATCAATGGCGTGCCGCACCTCCTTCGAGCCAAATTGTTGGCCTTCATAAACCCAGTGAGTGGACCCCATATTGGAACCTTCGGCGGTTCCATATCGTTGTCGACCATCCAATTGCCGTCTGGAATGTGATTGTACTAGAGGACTGGTACACGGTCATGAGCCACCTCATCATCATTATCTGAGTCTGACTCTGGTCATGAATCATCAGCACCTTCAAGAGGGTCGGAGTTGTCTGCACTGACATTGTTCTCTCCTTCATCATCGGAGGGGTCACTGTCTGGTGCTGGCAGGGCATCTTCCATCTGATCCAGCTCATTAAAGGCACCTTCATCAGCTCCATAATGGTAGTTGTGAAAACTACCACTGCCTGATTGGAAGTTGTACAGGGGTTGGTTGGCATGGTCCGGTTGAACTTCTTTTTCATATGACGGGTAAGATTGATGATGACCTTCACCTTGCTCTTGGTACTGAAAATAGGAATGAGGATCATGGTAACTTTGGTAGGGATGATCTCCATATAATTCACCTCCATCATGGATACCAGATGTTTGACCATCTCCAGAATGACCTCCAACGCCTACGACCGGCTCGGTGTAAACGAACATCTCGGCTCTGGAAAGTTTGTTGGACCTCAAGAATTCGAGCATGGCATCTACCTCATCCGGAGTGGTTATGAGATATTCCTCGTGCCACAACGACCCGCCTTCTCTGTTTGGATATCGGTACACCATACGATCAACTCTTCTCGTGCCATCCAGCAAGTAACGTTAGTACACATTTGATAGAGGTCTTTAAGCATCGGTCTGGTAGCGACCTTTATTTTCTGAAAATTGTCACCGGCGTAGGTGACCCCCTTTCCGCTCTCTTCCGTGTAACCATTCCACCGTAACCCAAGCGTGAACTTTTGGAATGCCATCTGCAAAAAAAAAAGTAGTTCAACTAATATCATAAAAATCACAATTCACAATAAAAAGTAATACAAAATAAACTTACGAGTTAACGTTAACCGCAAAAACACTAGAGAAATATGGAGCTACAATAGAAAATTGAAAAGGGAGAAGGAGAGGTGTGAAGAGAAGAAGATTTCCCGGGCTGCCTTTTATAGGCATAATCATCAATGAAAACCGCACCTTAGAGGTGCGTTTTTCATCTGCCATGCAGCCCCACGTCTATGAATCTGCATGGCTGCTTGTCTGGTGTCGGAAAATAATTGACACACAAACCGCATTGGGGGGTGCGGTTTGTGTTGCCAAAACCGCACCTTGAGGGTGCGGTTTGTTTTGGAGAAGCAAAACCGCACCCTCAAGGTGCGATTTTGGTAGGTCAGGCCTAGACCACATCTGGGCCATGCGGTTTGGTTAGGTCATACCGCAAACCGCATGGCCAATATGCGGTTTTGGCCCAGACAACTAAAACGCACCCCTAAGGTGCGGTTTAATGACAAAATGCACCAGGGGGTGCGGTTTACATGCAAAACACAGCTGGGGGTGCGGTTTTTAAAAAAGGGTGCTATTTTTGTAATTTCTACGAAATGTGTGCAATTTTTATAATTTTTTATTTAAATGTGCTATTTCTGGAAAAATCCCACAAATAATGGTCTATCAGTGCTCTTTGATTGATTTGTTTGCAAGAGAGCTTTCGGTGTCTTCTGGATCTGATTCAAGTGTTGCAGATTTTTTGGGTTGATCTTTTTCTGTGTTTTGTTCTTTCCTTGTTGTATTTCTTTAACACAGATTGTTCAATCGTGTGTTTGAGTTTGTCTGGCCTTGATCTTTTCTGGGCTCCTTTGTTGGCTGGCCTTGTAACATTTCTTTCAAAGAGCAATACAAGTAAATCCTTTGTAAAAAAAAATCAGCTAGTTAAGTACCGAACGTTTGAGTTTCACAACTGTCAATTTCATTTTTTGCCGGATATCTTTTGTGATGTGGGAGAAAGTAATGGCTTCAATTAGGACTGGAAGTTTGGTACCAGTATTTGGGATATACCGAATATCGTACCGAATTTATCACTATTTGGTATTACTGAATACCGATGTATTTTTTAGAGATTGGGATTGGGATTCGTTTTGGAGTGTTATTCGGTATTCGGGATAACGAGATTGGGATCGGTATATACCGAAATACCGAGAAATACCGAAAATTAAAAATTAATTAAATAAAGCACACAACGTTTAGTCATTCCTCACTCTTTCACAACTTAGAAGTCTTATCCAACTCAATTTTGACTTTCCAATTTAAGTCACTCTTGTCTCCCACCTAATCTTTTTTTATTTTCATAAAACCAAAAAGCAAACACTAGTATTAGTCGTCTCTCGGCCTCCAATTCGTCAAATTAAAGATTACCAATGACAAGAATTTGAGATGTCACCTCTCCTCCATACTCTTTATCCATATCCTAGCTCTAGGTAAACTCAAGACTCTTTGCTTAGTCTCTTTGGTTTAAATTAAACAATCAAATCTAATTTATATATTTAATTATTAATTACAAAGATAATTAATTTCGCATTCGATAATACCGATTGAGATACCGCAATACCAATTGGGATATTGAAATATTTAGGGATTGGAATTGGGATACCGAAATTATTTAGGGATTGAGATTGACTTTAGGGTATAATTCGGTATTCGGGATTTCGATATTTGTTACTGGAATACCGATATCGTATCGATTTCCACCAATAATTTTTTTTTTAAGTCATTTCCACCGATAACTTCAATGGTAGTCTGTATAGAGAAATTAGTCAATTACCATGACTTGCTAGATTTTCTCTCGTCCAATATTTACCTACTTTTGTTATGTGACAAATTTTCTTCCTTTTATTCTAAGACAATAAAGTACAACCATGAATTCCGTACTCCACCGGCAGCTGCTGCTGCCATTTTAACCCACCAGTGCCATAGCCACGTAGCCGTACTCCTTCGGCAGGAATTCCATCACTCCGCCTATTGGACATGGCCCAGTCTCGTGACAAGCCCAGCCGAGACATCTCCCATAAACTTGGAGCTGCGGCCCATTCATGTTGTTTAGTTGATTGCCCTTGTACTGTTACCCTAGAAACTTGTAGAAAAGGGTATAAAGCTGAATGTATGGCCATCGGCCAAACCTAAGAAAAACTAATAAGAATTCAGCTTGGAGAGCACCTGCTCTCCCGTGGACTAGTCCCGTCAATCGGGGATACCACGTAATCATCGTGTCGTCTTTATCGCTTTCTCCGAATTTATCATGGTATCAGAGCTGTGATCTGATCCAGCTTGTCGTTGCATCATGGCTGGCGAAGAATCTGGTCTCGAGACACCGCCAACGTCGAAATCGACTAGTTCTGGCTCTGGAGATAAAGAGATCGATCTGCACAGCCCCTACTTCATTCATCAGTCTGATAGTACAGGCCATCTGCACGTCAGCAGCTTGCTGACCCCATCCAACTATAGCGAATGGGTTCTTGAGATGCGGGACGCCTTGGTCACCAAAAACAAATTGGGATTTGTTGATGGGACGGTTCCTTGTCCGCCCACCGACTCCTCCCTGTTCCGAGCTTGGACGCGCTGCGATGCCCTCGTAAAGGGCTGGCTACGGACAGCTATGGATTCCGAGCTCCGCACAAGTGTTATGCATGCAAAGTCGGCGGGGGAGATATGGCAAGATCTTCAAGATCGCTTCAGCAAAGGGAATTTGACGAGGGCCTATGAGCTTCGTCGCCATGTGAGTCTCCTCCAGCAAGAGAAACAGTCTGTTTCTAGCTTTTACACCAATCTTCGGCAGATATGGGAGGAAACCCAGTCCATATTGCCGCCGCCGATCTGCCCCTGTGGGCGCCGTAGCCGCGACCAAAACGAGAGTCTGAGACTGCTCGATTTCCTCTTGGGACTTGACGACTCGTTCGCTACGGTTCGGAGTCATATTCTCTCTATGACTACCACGCCCTCGTTACCAGAGGCATTCCGCATTGTGTACAACGACGAACAGCAGCGGACTTTGACCCAGAATCGCAAGCCTACGCAGGAGGCTGCTGCTTTCGCCACTCGCGGGGACGTCGACCGGGCTTCTTCGGGCAATCGGCCTCCTCGTGATCGCGGGTCTGGCGATCGTGATCAGGGTACTGGGGAGCGACCTAAACTCCAGTGCACACACTGTCTTAAGACTGGACACCTCAAAGAATCGTGTTACGAGCTAATCGGCTATCCGCCACGTGATCGGGACAAGAAGTCCGAGCGATCAGACCGCTCAGACCGTCGGCGGAATCGGGATTCAGGCCGCGATGGTGGCTCCTCTCGCTCCCAGCGGGGTGATCCAAGGGCATCCTTGGCTGAAGCAGACACACATGCGAGCCCTGTTCCTGGTTTTTCGATGCAGCAGCTTGAGCTTTTGAAGCAATATTTTGGCGGACAGGTATCCCATGGTGTTGATCCTTCTAGTCACATGGCGGGTACGTATGCTGTCCTTAATCGACCTGAATGGTTGCTTGATTCAGGCTGTAACGCTCATATTACTATGGATGAGTCTCTTTTATTTTCCCATGATCCGAATGTTCCTAGTCAACCCGTCCGTATCCCGAATGGGGCTAGTATTCCGGTACGGCGTGTGGGATCGGTTCGGTTGGAAGATGGGATGGTTCTTAATCGGGTTTTATATGTACCGGAATTTCGGTGCAATTTGTTATCGGTGAGCAGGTTATGTCAAGAGCATCAGGTTGCGTTAATATTTCTTGGTGATTTTTGTATCATACAGGACTTACACTCCAGGAACGTGATTGGGAAGGGGGAGATCCGTGATGGACTCTATTATCTTCGCTTGTTTGGATGTCAGCAGGTCAAGGCGCACGCGGCTGCCAAGGATGTGACCGCACCTCTCGCTCCTTGGCATGCCCGTTTGGGTCATCCCTCGACGTCGGTTATGCATAAACTTCAGCATGTTATTCCTGGTTTTCATTCCTTGAGTAATGATCTTTGTCATTCCTGTTCTCGGGCTAAACAAGTTCGGACATCTTTTCCCGTTAGTGGGATTCGTACTTCTTCTTGTTTTGAAATGTTGCATTTGGATATTTGGGGTGGTTACAGCACACCATCACTCAGTGGGGCACACTATTTTTTGACTATTGTTGACGATTTTAGCAGAGGAGTTTGGATATATCTTCTTCGTTTTAAATCTGAAGTTGGTCGATACCTGCGGTTGTTCTGTAATCTTGTTAGCACCCAGTTTGGTAAACAGGTCAAATGCATCCAGGCAGACAATGGTCCGGAATTCAATACCATTGATTTACGTGAGTTTTATGAGCAGGCAGGTATACAGCTTCAAACATCCTGTACGGACACGCCTCAACAGAATGGCGTTGTGGAACGCAAGCACCGTCACATTCTTGAGACGGCTAGAGCGCTGCGGTTTCAGGCCTCACTGCCTATTCGATTTTGGGGTGAGTGTGTACTCACTGCAGCCTACTTAATCAATCGTCTGCCAACTACTGCTACAGGTCGGACTCCTTATGAAGTTATTTTTGGCAAGCCGGCCAGTTATTCTCACTTACGGGTCTTCGGCTGCCTCGTCTACTGTAAGGATACACACGGCCACCTTGGTAAGTTTGATGAGCGTGGTCGTGCTTGTCTTTTCCTTGGCTATGCTGCCAGTCAAAAGGGTTACCGAGCCTATGATATGGCCGCTCGGCGCATCATTACTAGTCGGGACGTCGTTTTCCATGCTTATCTCTGGTTTGCACTTTCTAGGGTTTGTGAATTTGGGAATTGAGAAGTGGGTTTGGAGGAGACAGAGTTGAGACCTGTATATACATACCCACTAGCATTAGCCAGGTAATTGACCATCTCTGTCTGACTTTCCTATGTAATTTCCTCTCCCAATTGTAAATTTATTGTCATTGACGAAAGCAGTGATGATAGGATGGCTTTTTCTTCAAGCCAAGGCCGGTTCCTGTAGATTTGCTTACCCTTTTCTTCTTTTTCAGTTCACTGTTTTACTACTGCCATTGACGGTTCCAAACAAGATTGCCAACCCAATTTCTGGTATGGGTTCTGAACATATGTTCAACTGAGCAAGAACAACCCGAAAGGGTAGTAAATGGATGTTGTTAAGTAGAGATAGTAATAGTACAGTCTGGACCTTGTATACCCCCCGTAAAAATGGAAAGGGGGAGCTTTTGCAAACTCTGTGACAAGCTCAAATCCTTTTTGTTTTATGTGTGGAAGTGCTAGACTGTGGAAGGGTTGACAAGTACTAGCTGATGAGTTCTCTTACAACGGGAAGTTTCCAGTAAGACGAATGTGATCCAACGTCCTACGGAGACCATACTTGTTGACAGCAGCATTAGCAGCCCTGAATCCTCCACCGTATGCTGGAGAAGCGTCGTGAGCGATTTGATGCATGAAGAACTCCCCCAGTTTGTGTTCCACCTCGGATCTCCCGCCTTTCTTTGAATTGGAATAGGAGGAGGAGGAGGAAGAAGAAGCTGTTAATGATGATGTTGATGCCATATTGCTGCTTTTGGATCCTGGCAATACTTCGGATTCAAGCCACATATAGGAGAGAACCTGACAGATTCCTTCCTCTACCTCAGGGTTTAGGTTCCTGTACCCTGGAAGAAACAATAGGGGAAAACTGTCATCAAAGACTTGTTTCAGAAGAAACCTGGGGTCTGTGACGTTGTTGGGGTTGTATATGAATGCATCAGAAGAAACCTGGGGTTGTCTCTACTGTATGTGTACATGAAATCGCATCAGTGAATTAGAAAAAGCGCATCATACCTTTCAGACGTAACCATCCATGCATGAGTTCATGGGCCAGAATGGCTCCTGTTAGTAGCCTTGGGAGGCCATAGAGGACAAGAATTGCTGTGACTTCACATCTCCTGATCAACTTTTGAGGCTGTGTTCTCATCCCCCCAAACCGGTGCCCTCCGATCCTCGGTCTCCTTTGTACCTGTCGGGCAACGATCAAACAGTTTCAGAAAATACCACAAACCAACTTCAGATTAGCAAGTTGTGAAGGAAGAATCGTACACTGGTGACAGTCTGTTCTTCAGAAAGACATAGCCCCCTTGTCTCGGGCATGTGATGGTACCCCTGGAAAAAACAAGTATATTCTTTATCAGCATCAATCGAAACGGATGGGTTTTGAATGTTGTATGGTAAGCTGTCTTGTATGCTATGGTAGTATGCATTACATTCTTCTCTCCAATGATTGCTTCATTGAGTGCTTGTCTTTCAACAAGCAGCATGGGAATCTGCTGATCCAATCTCATGTTCATTCCTTCGTAGTAATCTCTGATCGCATGGTAAAGTGGTTGGCAATCGCCCGTGTCCATGATGGCTGACTCCATGCATTCCAAGCACAGGCTCCTTCCATCTTCCAGGGAGTAGTATCTTGCATTCCAAGACTACAGAAGGGAAAAACAGAGAAACCAAAAGGATCAACAATAATAACAATTTTTTAGCAGAAAATTTGCAACTGCAACAGCTTAAGAGTCCAGTGAGCACCTCCAGTCGCTCACAACTGCAGCACCGAGCTGTACTATCATGCTCGTGAGAAGGGCAGTACTTTTGTGACCAAAATGGGTGGCATCTGTACTCTATCAAGCCCGCCGAGTTGGTTGGAATCTGATACAACAATCAAACAGCAGAGGGTTAGAGCATTTTGGCTTTCAGTTGTAATATGACATTCTGAAATTGCAATTGAAGGGATGGAGATGGTGTATGATCTATGATAAGCTAGGCAATGAACGACATTCTTCCAGGAAATTATATTGCAGACACAAAAGGTAGGGACTTGCTTACAAATTGCAGGCAGACTTCACATTTGGGATGAGTCAGTTCCTTGAAACATGACTTGTGATATGGGTCTTTCCCTGACAAAGAGAACTTGGGGGATCAACAGAACAAAAAAGTTGTTTCAGTAACAATCCCATGATACTTGCAAAGGAAGTAACTTCTGTTATCATTTTCCTTTGTCCTACCTCTGTCTCAGTAATTGGGTAGCCACAAGAGCGGCACCTGAAGCATTCCGGATGGAAGAACATCCCCATGCAACCCAGATAGTTCCCATACCCGATTTCGCGATGGCAGCCGCCACATAACCTAACCGAAGACCAAACCAGCAAAAGCTTAACTGATTTCTCTATGAAAATTGTTAGAGACTTGGTTCTTATAAACTCACCTATATCCCCTGGGGTAATAATGTGCAGGAGGGACTACATAAGGAGGATACGAAGACAAGTTGAGGCTATCTTGTAAAGCTCTTGCTAATGCTTCATCGTTGTTGTTGTTTGCTGTCGGCCGCCATCCATACCCTCCTGCTTTTTGTACAGTAAAAGTTGAGACACAATCTCTTGAATGAAATGCAAAAAGATGGTGGTTGTAGTATTACCATTCGGTGGTCTCCTCAACCCTTCACCCATGGAAAGTGCAATTGCACGGTCAAGCTCTTCTTTTTCCCTGTTAGCTCTTGGCCGGCCGACACCGACACCGCCTCCACGGCCGCCCTGTTCATGGTTAGAGCGATCATCAGCTTAATTGTTTGTTGCTCTTTTTTTTTTTATCATTTTCCCCCGCTTTGTTTATGTAATTAGGAATTCCGCTTTGGGAAAAGGAGGAACATATAAGTACAGGGGCTAAAAGACGGATGTCAACTTTTCACATCACATGCTCGTAAACTTTTGATCACGCTAGATGGGAAGAAAAGAGAAGTAGAAAAAAGGCGTTTCCATGTTCCTGGGCCAACGGAATATATTGGGATGCAATATTTAAGCTTTTGCACGCTACTAATACATAACAGCAAAATGGCTTCTCATCCTTTCCGGTGCCGTTATCATGTGGATGGGTAGAGAAAGCGGCAGACTCTTTTTCACAGACAGATTTGTGATGGCAGTATAGTTTTACAGATTTGGCATTGGTACTCACAAATCACAATCAAGCTCTTAACAGAAATTGATTTGCAGAAAGATGATATCTTTAATGCTTGTTAGTTTCTGAATGGAAGACGAGGAACAATTAAAACAGAGAGGAGGCCGTTCTTTGTTACCAGTGATCTAGTTGATGGTTCCCGCCAGACCATGTTCTCGTCTCCTACAAGCTGCGGCTGACCTCCGCCGCTGCCGCCAACACCACGATGGGTGTTTGTTTTGAACAGTTTGCCGAGCCATTTCGTGAAGCGGGATTTTTTCTCCACAAAGTCCCCTGCTTTCCTTTGAAACAGGTCTCAATAAGCAAACCGAAAGCAGAGTCGCCAGAGATGTCTTTAAAAAGAAAGTTCACACGAGGAAAGGAAATTTGAAAATCTGGGTAGTGAAGAGAAGCGGATGATCGTACCATAAATGCAAGGATTAGAGATATGAGTTACACCTGAAGACGAGTAAGTAGAAGGCGGCGGCGGCGGAGCCATGGCAGAGCACGAAAACAGGGGGTGAAATTACAGAGCTTTTTTGCGGCGGCAGAGGAAACGAAAACGACAGGGAGAGAGAAGAAAAGAGTGGGAGAAGGGGAAGGAGGAACAACGCAACCAGCATGGGATAGCAATTAAAAAGATGATGGATGGCTGATCAAAGAGAGAGAAAGAAAGACGGGAAGGAGAAGAATCTGAGGCAGAGAAAGGGAAGTAAAACTAAAGCCGAGAAAAAGGGGAAATTAGATTCTTGGCTTGAGAAAGCTAGGAAGAGAAAGAAATGGAGATAAAGAGAGAGAGGCGGAGGGAATATTTGAAGTGACGGTGGTGGTGCGGTGGACGGCTGGTGGTGAGAGAGAAGGTAAAAAGCAGAGGAATCCCCCGGGGAGGAACAAAAAACAGAGCAGTGAAGAAACAGAGATGGATTTTCTTTTTTGTTTTCCCTTTCGCCACGCGGGAATTTGCTGGAACGGAGCTGGAGAATTCTTCTTTTTGGGTTCCTGCTTATGGATTGAAGATGATGGACAGATAGATCGATGATGTTATGTGTATATATTCCCTGTGTCCTGCAAACAAGAAGAAGATGGGGAAAACAGTTGCTGGAGAATACCGTTTGCCCTTCATGTCAATGGAATTATATTCGTCTTTTGTGATTGAATACATTATGCTCCAAGTCAATTTAGCAACGAAAAACGCCATTAACGAACGAGAGGGAGGGAAGGAAGGAGAGAGTTTTAAAATAATCCCGCCAAGGCAGCTTGAAGAAGAAGGGAGAATCAGTTCAGTTGCAGAGGTGCGAGAAAAAGGAAAGGAAGTCAGGCGGCGGAAAAGGATTTATGAGTCACCAATATCCCTTCTATTCTCTCCTACGGATACATCATGTCTCAAACTTGTTCCATTCCAACTGCCGATCTACTTAGGTTTTCTTTCTTCTTCTTCTTTTCTACGCCGTTGGTTCTATTCCAAGAATGATGCTGATGTTCCTCTTCCTCACCATTGTTCCTTACAAATCCGAGCATCATATTTTCTCCAGAGATGGTACCAAATAATTGGCGAAGTTAGTCATATAGTAGTTGAGTCGGGTGACCGGAAGACCGGTTAAATGTTTTGATGTGCTCGAGAATGCAAACAGTTAACAAGGTTATAGGAACGATATTGTTTAATGGACGTGACCACCTGATGATGTTCACTTCCCCGTTCCCACCTTGCTTCGGTATAGGAAGAGTCGTGCCACGAGACGTTCTAAGAACAAATTTAGGTGCACATATGGTATACTCAGGCGAATAAATGTTCCTAGTGACCTTTATACTTAAAAAGATTATAATAGTCATGACGAGAAAGATTGGGAAGTTAATCTATCAACTACCGGGATTTGCATGGATGTAAACGCTAAGCAATGCTCGTTGCTTTAAAAGGTCATGAAAGAAACGTAAAGACACCTATGATTTTTACACATTCTACAAAATGAGGGGCTCGGAGAAGTGCTTGTGTGTGTCTAGGCGTTTGGGGTTGGGAGGGGCTTTGTGATACTCTCCAAAGCTTCACAACACCTTGTTTGATGTGCTTTGGTACGATATGTGCTTGAGGCTGGTTCAATAGTGGTTATTTCACCATTAGTTGGATTGTATCGATTGTTAGGAACGGAACAACAACAAGAATGAGGTTACCAAATCTGGAGTTGAGTCACGGACTAGATCACTTTTTTTAAGACGTTCGTGGCACTGCTCTCGATGCGGACGACAGACTATCAACAGGTCGTCTCAAGGATAAAACAGCTCCTCGAATGCTTAGCGGTTTTGTGCGAAAATCGGAGCTCTTTGAACACTCTCTCTATTGTGTTTCTGCGCGTTGTGGTGTGTTTAGAGGGGCTGGGGAGGCAGCTATTTATAGGAGTCGAACCCCTAGGAATATACCCTCTTACTTGGGGAATAAGTCGGATTAATCAAGGAAGATATTTACTTCCTTAATTAAAACGCGTTTATAAGATAATTCCTGACAGAATTATCCTTCGAATATTCCTTTTGAATGATTATCTTCGTATCTGTTAAGGATACAAGATAATCAAGTCATAATTAATTAATAATTAATTTCGGAATTTCTGTAAAAAATATTAGTCTCAAACCCACCCACCCGACCAGCCGGTCAGACGAACGGACAGCGCGCGCGTGTGTGGTGTTCCATTAGGTCCTCCCTCTCCCACAAAAGTGGGTCACCCCAAGGGGCATGCCCTTAGAAGAGAGGATCCTATTCTTATAAACATATCATAAGAGTAAAACTACCAATGTGGTAGTTTTTCCTTTGAGACTTATAACTTTCAAAACTATTCATTTTTCATTCATTTCCAACAATCCCCCACTTGAATAGTTTTGAAATTATCTATGAACATAAACAGTTCTATAAGATCGGGCATAAGCTAAGGTATCGCGAAGATTTGAACCTTGGCGTAGTGGTTACACTTCCGATTTCATAAGGGAGACTCGTAGTCTTGAACCCTATCTCAGACAGTGTAGCACACTGAATCTTTTCATTGAGTTGTTCTCTTCTTAGCCCGTGCGTTTATGACCATGCACGTTATCCTGGTTTAGTGAACGCTCTAGCAACTTTGTGCCTCCAAAGTTCCATAGGGAGCAGCCCCACTCCCACATTCACATAGGTGAGTCTATCAGGAGTATCCCCAAAGTAAAGTACTCCACCCCACATAGGGTATAGATCTCATTAAGAGTTGTTAACTCAACCTCCATTGCTTTGGGATTCATGCTTCACCATGCATGAACTTTTCGCATACTACTCATGACTTGTTATTACCCATTGAACCCATTTCTTGGGATCTCCAGTCTATTGGGTCGGGTTACAATCACTTGTAGTCCGTGGTTTGGTAGGCATAAGTCTCATACCCTTGGCGGTATTCTGGACTTTCTCTCTAGGTAATCCTTTCGTCAAAGGATCAGCTAGATTCTGTTCGGATCTTATATGATCCACCCTCACAGCTCCTATCGTTAGGAGTTCTCTTACAGTACTGTGCTTATGACGAATCTTTCGTTTCTTTCCGTTATAGAACTGGTTCTCAACTTTAGCGATAGCTGCGGTACTATCACAATGGATCAATACCGGAGGGACCGGCATTTCCCATAGGGGAATCTCTTACAACAATCCTCTCAACCAACTCGCTTCTTCACTAGCCGTTGCTAGTGCTATCATCTTTGATTTCATAGTTGATTGAGCGAGAATTGTTTGTTTCTTAGACTTCCAAGACACAGCTCCATCAGCGATGTTAAAAACATACCCGCTGGTTGCCTTGGAGTCATCTGATAGGGTACTCCAATCCGCATCACTATACCCTTCTAGTACAATAGGGAACCTTTGATAGTGAATACCAAGGTTTGTTGTTCTCTTGAGGTATCTCATGACCCTCTCTATAGCATTCCAATGCTCTCTACTAGGACAGCTGTTAAACCTGTCAAGCAATCCCATGACATATGCAATGTCTGGTCGAGTGTAATCCGCAACATAACGGAGACTGCCAATGATGCTAGCATACTCAGTTTGTCTTACACTATCTCCAGTTTTCTTGAATAGCTTTACACTAGCATCATATGGAGTACACGCAGGTTTACAATCAAAATAGTTATATTTCTTCAAGATCTTCTCTATGTAGCTAGATTGATCTAGAGAATAACCATTTGTTGTTCTAGTTATCTGGATTCCAAGCATAAATTTTGCTTCTCCTAGACCTTTCACCTCAAAGCTCTCTTTCAACATGGCTTTTGCTTCATTGACCACGTGAATATTTGTACCAAATATCAACATGTCATCTACATACAAACATATGATAATGCAAGTGTTATTCTCTGACTTGTAGTAAATACACTTGTCACTTTCATTAACCTTAAAGCCATGTGAGAGAACGAGAGTGTCAAACTTCTCATGCCACTATTTTGGAGCCTGTTTCAAACCATATAATGATTTGTCTAACTTACATACTTTCGAGGCATGTTCGGGGATAACAAACCCTTCGGGTTGTTCCATATAGATTTCTTCATCTCACCATTCAAAAAAGCAGTTTTAACATTCATTTGGTGTACCACGAGATTGTTCAAGGCAGCAAGAGCAATCATGACACGAATGGATGTTATTCTAGATATTGGTGAATAGGTATCGAAGAAATCCATATTCTCTCTCTGTCTGTAGCCCTTAACTACTAGGCAAGCTCGGAACCTTTCAATTGCACCATCAGGTTTCCGTTTTGTTTTTAGAACCCATTTATTATCTAAGACTTTGCAGCCAGGAGGTAAGTCTGTTAGATGTCAAGTCTTATTAGCTTCCAACGATTCCATTTCATCTATAACGGCCTCATTCCAAAAATCTGCATCTATGGAAGTTAAAGCTTCCTGCAAACTTTTGGGATCTTCGAGGGTGTATATTGTAGTAAAGTCATCACCAAAATCTTTGGAGATTCTAGCTCTTTTACTTCTTCTGATTTCATCCTCGGATCCACACCCCCACTAGTTCCGTTATCTCTAATAGAGGGTAGTACATTACCCCCACTATTTCTCGTTTTAAATGGAAATCGTCTCTCAAAGAAATCAACATCAATGGATTCTATTATAGTACGAGCATTCAAATCATAGAATCTATATGTCTTACTATTGGCCGCATAGCCAACGAAGACACATTCATATGCTCGACTAGCCAACTTAATCCTCTTAGGATCCAGAATTCTTATGTAGGCCAAACAGCCCCACGTTCTTAAATATGACAGATTAGGTGGCTTATTCTTCAATATCTCATAGGGTGATTCTTTTCTATTTGTTTTTGGAAGACAATTTAGCACATATCAAACCTCAACAAAATATCTCCCCACCAAGAAGAAGCAGCTCTAGAGTTTGCATAATAGCCACAACTAATTCTGTAAACGTCCTATTTTTTTGATCAGCGTTACCATTCATTTCTGGTGAATATGGTGTCGTGGTTTCATGAATGATACCATGTGAGATATAGAATTCCTTGGAGAGATTAGAGTCATACTCTGGTCCTCTATCACTCCTAAGTCTTTTTATCTTTCGATTGCACTAATTTTCAAATTCAACCACAAATACCTTGAACATATCAAGGGCTTCACTTTTGTTTTTCATCAAATAAACAAAGCAATAATCAGAGCAATCATCTATGAAAGTGATAAAGTATCACTTGCCAGACCTAGTTAACGTCCCATCTAATTCACAAATATCAGAATGAAACAGATCTAAGGGTTCTGATTCTCTACTCACAGATTTATGAGACGCTTTCGTTATCTTAGCTTGGCTACAGAAATCACATTTTTTATCAAATTCATTCATTGAGAGTATAGGAATATGTCCTAGCTTGTTTAAATTCTTCACAATTCGTGTGTTCATATGACAAAGACAAGCATGCCAAACATTCAAATCACACAGCATGTAAACCGAAGAATTCATCTTATTAATTTCGACATTCAACTTGAACATCCCATTACATGCATATTCCTTTCCCACAAAACTCCCATTCTTACTTAGTAAGGGTATACAAGTCTGCCCCAATAGATTGATTAAACCCAGCCTTATTAAGAAGATATCCTGAAATAAAATTCTTTCTTATCTCTGGAGTGTGCA